CTTCATGCTCTCGAATATGAATAGAAAGCTCAGAAAAATCAACTGACGAGGCTCCTCAAAAACAAAGTCAGAAAATTAAGGTACAGTAAAGAAACCAAATATTGTAAACCTGGTATATATCGGTTGTTTCTAAAATTAACGGTAAACTTGGTTAATTTATTTCTAATATCCCGTTTTTGTATGCATTTATATTTCCGTTATAAATAAACGACTAAATATTCGGGATTGTATTTTATTTTATAGTCTTTTTAGAGAAAAAGTTGTGTGGCAAAAAAGTTGCAAAAAATGAAACAGGTTTGGTGGAGTTTTTTTTACCAAAGGATGGCCAAAAAAACATTTTTTTAACCTAATAAAAAAATAAAAGGGAGAAAAGAAACTTGTTAATTCATCATTGCCTTCAATTAGAAATAAAAATTCAATTTTTACCTAAGATGTTTAAATTTTATATATTTTTATTTGTTGTGGTTATATGAAAAATATCAATATCTAATGTTAAAATGAAACAAAAAAGTGTATGACCTCTTTTATTTTGAAATTTATTTTATCTCCCTGTTATTATAATTAATTCAATTATTAAAATCAAATTAATTATTTTTTTCATTTTAATGTAATGTCTTGGAACCTCACTTCGTTTCGGTTCTCCTTTTTGATGTCGGACCTATTATTAATGTAGTAGTATATGTTGGTCAACACTCTCGAATACGCAAAATTTTCGCATTATAATTAAAATATTAGGTTATATAAAATTTCATGTATTATCCATTTATTTTAAATATAATTTTAAAACCAAGGTTATACCTGTATAGAAGAACAACAAGTAGTGGCGTTTTCAACGCAAGGGTATATCATGTTGTAAAACAATTATTAATTTAGTTTTTGATTTCGTTTTTAAATTTGTTTCAATTTTTAAATGTAAAATATAAGTGTAAAATTGGCATTTTCAATCAATTTTATGCCAATTTTTGTCATTTGACCTAAGACAATGAATCGAAAAAACCCATATAAAAACTGTTAAATTCTTAACTATTTTTAAACATTTATTTTCAAAAACCAGTAAAAACAATAATAAAAACTGTTTCATCCTTTGGGTTTTTTTACTTTTTGAAATTTAAAATAGCTGTAGGATAACACAGTATGTGTAAAATAAGGGGTCCAAAAAGTTAAAAAACCATAATGAATTGATTTTCATAGTGTGCTATTTTTGCGAGTCCGAGATAGGTGACCTACATATACTACTTGAGTGTTGTTGAATCTATAATAATCTCTGCCAAAGCCTGGAAAGAAGTCAGCGCTGAAACTATTCATAGTTGTTTTATGCACACGGGACTGTTCGAGCAAGACAGCAGAATGGTGTTAGAGGATGATATGGGAATTGATGAAAGTATTATAAAACTTTATAACAGTATACCTTTCTATCAAAATGAAGCAGTAGACACTATAGATTCCATTATAAATGTAAACTATGAAAATGTATAACCCTTAAACAACGATGAATATGATGAAATTGTTAACGATGACCAAAATGATGAAGTTGTTTCTTTAATGATTAAACAAATAGAGTCCAACATTTGTTTTTAACTGAAAAAATGACGCTTTTATGAAACAAGTTTATTAGATTGTTTTTTATAATTCAATTATAAAATATATTTTCAAAAGGTTAAAAATCAAAAACATAAAAACGTTTATTATTTTGAAAAAATCAAAAAAAAACAATTTATTAAAATATTTCCAATTGATTGTTTTTAACATGAAAAAAAATATCATTTAGAGTTACTCGATGAGTTATTTTATGATTTTAATTAAAAAACATCGTCTTCAAAAACTTTGAATTCAATTTAAATTAATATGAATAAACAACACAAAAATAAAAACACTCGAAAATTGATCATTAGCATTTTTGGAGTGCAAGCTGTTGGTAAAACAAGCATTTTATATCGATGTGTATATAATATATTTGATAATATATATGATCCAACCATTGAAGATAATTTTAGATACTTTTTAACACTAGACGGGACTGTTTTCGACATCACATTCATCGACACATACTACCCCGAAGAGTTTAGTGCACTTACAGATTGTTACGTCAATCACAGTGACCTTTGTATCATTGTATATTCAATCACGGACAAACCATCATTTGGTGAAGTCATAAATTTAGTCGCGCGTGTTAATAACACACGAAAAGAAAAAATGATGAAACCACTGCCAATCGCGCTTTGTGGAAATAAATGTGACTTGGAGAGTACAAGACAAGTGCCGTTTGAAAAGGGGCAAATTCTGTCTGAAGAGATTAAAGCTTTGTTCTTCGAAACTTCAGCAAAGAGTAACATTAATATTAAAGAAATGATTTGCAATTTGATCACCAACTTTAATTTGAGTCAAGAAAAAACAAACTTCGAAATATCCGAAGAAGACGAAGCACTTAAAAAAACAAAAAATGGTATATACAAAAACAAAGAAAAGAAAAATTGTGTGTTAATGTAATTTATACTATAATT